TCTCCGATGTGTGAGACCTTTCGCTCCAAAAAGGATAGTTTCATGATCTTAAACACATACCCATCCTAACCATGAAGTAGAATATGTGCCCTTCTAGGAGCCATCAATCTGACAACGCAATTGCGCTGATGGTTGTGCCATGTGCTCCATTTCTGCCCCTGAATTAATTGAAACCTCCGGTATGTCTAGTTGTGCATCCGTCCATGCCCCTGAATTAATAAGTTTCATCTTATTATCTCATCTTTAGTGAAATGGTTGAATATCATTTTAGTAAAATAATATATATTCTTTCTCTTTAAATCAACAACCTCTTAACAATCGTTTGACACAAATATTATTTAATTTTTTATGTCTTTTATATTTTTATTCATTTGTTCTTATATGTATATTCATTTTACATATTTTCAATTTTTGAAATTAAATATATAAAATTTTATCATTATCCTAAACTCATAATCAAATATATTTATTGATGTAATTTTAAATATTAAAATAGTTTTATATGTACTACTTTTAGTTATTTGTTGACTTATTTTGTTTTTATTTAATTAGAAATTTTAGAAGCTATAAGTGACGATAAATATACATAAACATGAATTAAATGAAACTTAATTAAAATTAAAACTAATTGTAAATAAAATATTTTGCCTATATAGACACTTTAGATGGAGAGAAAACTTTGCTATTATATATATAAATTTACTAGTTTATTATAATAAGTGATTCTTTCCTTTCCTACAAAAACATGATATGGTTAAATATGATATTCATCTATCATTAATTTTGTAAGATGATGTTCTTTGAAAAACATAAAAGATTTTTTTTATTAAGATCGGATTCAATATTGATTTATACACTATATTAGTTTTTAGATAAGATGCTGGAAATCGTCAAAGCGATATCCGACTTATTTTCCATAATAGAAATAGTTTTAGAGAGTTGTGGACTAATTTTAGCTCTTTTATCATCTGATAACGCATCATCACACGTAATTTTGTTTGTCATCACAGTTGATATATGACCAGTTAACGTGCTACTGTCTTTGGCTGCCAAAGCTTTAAGGGCATCATCAACAACGCTAATTGTATCGTCATACATTGTAGAGCATGTAGCATAGATACTCTTAATGAAATGACCTACCGCACTTTTTTCGAGTGATTGGAATTGTTTATGTTTGTCTGAAGCATCTCGTTGCACATCTTCGATCAAAAGCTTCACAACACCAAAACCATCCAATGTTTTTGTTGCAGGAGTCTATTTAAAGAAGTTGAAGCAGAAAGAAGGATTCTTTACTTGTGAGCAGATGGTCCGGACCTCACTTTCTGATACATTTATACTGAATTTTCCATATAATGAGGCAACAAAAAACAAAAAAAAATTTAGAGAAACCAAGAAAAAACTGTTTTTAGCATACACAACCATGTTTATTTCTATGTTTTTAATATGAAGATTATGATTTTTTTGTTGGTACAAATATTTGAGAATTGTTAAGAGTTTATTATATAGACGGAGGTAAAACATATCTACATTAACTAAAAATGATAATAATATTATTATTTTGGTCAACCTGTTTAATTATGTACCATAATAAGTTAGTAAGTCAATAATAACATTATGTTAATGCATTCAATTTTTAGTATTTTAATAATAACATGGTCAAAGCATTCAATATAATTTTTTAGTATTGCAAATACGATAGCTTTTTAAATTACATATTTCATTCATGTAAACATTTTAAAAAATAAATCAACTAACCTTTATAAAGTAGCACATATTTTAAAATATAA